ACCTGAGGGTCCATTAAACTTTAAGGATGTTGTTCCATTTGGTAGGAACGTAATCTGCGCTTGTAATTTGGATAGCACATCACGTCCCAGCAATTGGACTGGACACTCAGGCATATAAAGGAATTGATGTTTTACTACGTGGCCTCCCAATGTACAGAGTCGACTTTTAAGAACCGGTTTTTCAGCACTTCTTCCAGTTGCTCCTATTACGGTAATAGTTCTTCCAGATGGAGGAGCAACTTGATTAGTCACCACCGAATGTTCAGCACCAGTGTCGATCATGAACGCACTCCTTTTTCCCCCTATTGATACATCGACCATAGGCTCCGCTCGACCAAGGGGGATGGAGCCTGGTCGGTATCAATAGTCCTCCATGACCGTGTCAGCCAATCCCACAAAGTCCCTACCTTCTCTATCGCGGGACCTTTGCGCTGCTGGATAGTACCTATCTTCCCTTACACTTCCTCTGTTCCCATTACTCCCTCTATTACCATTACTCCCTCCAGGGCCTCCTCTACCTCTCGCTCTGCCTCTAAAGTTTCCATAACCTGCCCTGGGTAAGTCTCTCTCATACTGCTCTCTTTGCGGACACTCATTCCTCCAATGCCCTTCTTCCTTGCAGTACGCGCACTGATTCCTACTCAAAGGCTCCCTATTCCATCTACCATCGCCTCTATCTGAGCCCCGTCTATCTACGCCTGCGATCGCTACCGCTAGCATATCTGCCTTTCTACGCATCTTGCGCTCTTCCTCTTTCTTACTTTCTGTTTCCCTATTCATATATACTTTTTTCGCTACCTCCATTAGTTGGGTGATAGACATACCTGCAAACCCTTCTAATTTCTGTAGCTTGCGCTTAATATCTCCGTAAGCTTGGCTGACAAAGGCGGAGTTTACCATTCGGAAATTATCAGCGTCTTCCGGATTAAAGGGGGTATTCAAGCGGTATGCCTCCAGTAATCGGTCATAAAAGACACTGGGCGCTTCATCACTTTTCTGAATCACCTCAACTGTCTTTGACATGTTAATAGCTTTCTTCCCTCCGGCTTTCATGCCAGCAATTATAGCGTCTCTATAGGCTTTAAGTTGAGCCATATCTGCGCCATTTACATTCCAGTCAGGATCGGTGTTAGGGTAATGTGTTGCGGCCCATGCTGCCGGATTGGCTTGATTTAAAGCACGGGCTCTCTCCTCTAGCGCCTTAATGGCCGCTTGGTTAATCCTTGTCCTTTCCTCATTATTGAACAATGTCATTAATAACTGCTGGCAATCAGCCCATGTCGGGTTATGTGTCTGAACTATCGAGGTGAACAGGTCGGTCATAGCTTGTGGTTTCTCAGTGTACGAGGAATTGTGGGTCTTCCAATTCAAGAGATCGGTAGTCGTGAACGGGACATATACGAAGACTGGGTCAGCATGTGCCATTTGACCTGCGGCATCGATATAGGCTGACCCAGGATTCAGACGAAGAGGCATCTGATAATGTTTTAATTGTTGGGTACCGGTCAGTTGTCGGGTTAGTATGGGGCTACGTGGAGGGGCGTCAGTTAAAGGTTCCGGTCGAGAGGTAATAGGGCATGAGGATGTGGGAACTTGATTTTGTGAAAAGTTAGTGAATAGTATACTCCGAGCCGAGCTAGAAGAAGCTTGACCGGAAGTTTGAAGTGGCGCCAAATCAGGATATTCAGATCTAATGGGGGTTGGTCCTGGTTCAGGAAGGGGAGTTTTAATACGAGGGGGGGTGGATTCTGTACTGGAGGAGGAAGCGGAAGGGGATGGGGGCAATAGGGGAAGGGGTGCAGAACTTCCTGCATTCGCGTCACTTCCTCTTAAAGGGAAGTAAGGGGGCGGCAAAGGGATCTCGGACTCAGGGGGCGTGTCCAAAATGGGCCTAACACCAGTCCTAGTGGACAAACAAGTCCTGGCCACCATGAGGCGACATTGCTCCTCGTGGCATATCCGGATCCATTTTGGCGAGTCGTTTACGGCCTGCCCTCAACAATCAATGTATGGAAACTGTCCGTAAAGTTCAGGCCTACCTGATACAGCCACGTGTACACGCTGTACCAGGGTTGGATCCAAACTGCCACGCGGCGGCCATGCCGCAACCAAAGTAGGCCACTCCCTAGTGCACAAAGTGACCAAACGAACAGGAGACATTTTAACCCCAAAATCACATATTTTGAATCCCTTTTTAAAATTCTTTACCATACAACCTAAGGGATCCGAAATCGTTGACTCTGACGCGCCCATACTTATCAATGGAACGTCGTTGACAACGAATACTATGCACGCGTTCTTATTCAACAGTCACACCCGTTTCCTCTGGCAACAGCACCACGTGGTACAGTTACCAAGTGAAACGTACACAATAACACAATAATCACTCAGGGAATTCCCGTACACACACAGCTGTTACACCAGTCACTAAATAATCAATATTATGCCCTTTGGCGAAACTATACAGTCACCCACGCTATAATTCTCTATATATGAATTACCCGTCTATAACACACCCCAGTAACATCGTCTTTTACTAGTATCGGTTACAGTACGGTTAGCATAGGTCAAAGCACAATTTAAGGTCACAATACAATTACTAGTGGTTACGGTGTTAAACATGCAATAGACGACAATGATTAGTACTTATATACAGTGTCAGTAAATATACAGGGTTATGGTACCGTGCACTATGATACAGCAACACACTATTAACACTCTCGCTAGACGGCTGAGCTCGCGCTATCTAACAAGATATACACTTTACTAACAATCTTTAACACATTTACAATCCCAACTAAACTATTGGCCAGTACCTTGAATGGACTACCTAAAACTATATACACCCGTTTTGGTTAGCCACACTGCCCAAGCACCACATATAGCGAACTAGAGGGCAGAATTTACAAAATTGCCCTTCTAGTCTATTTACTCTATCAAAAGTCTAGTGGGTTCCAAATTTACACGCCTTCCCACTTAGCCAAGATAGGTTGAGAGCTAGCGAACCGAATTTACACAGGCGCCGCTTAGTCTCCCGGTCCCTCCGACCTAGCGAACGTAATATACACCCTAGAACGCTAGTCTAGACAAGACACCGGTGTCCGGCTAGGGCTATTTACACAGGACCCCGCCTGACTAACCAGATCAAACGGTCTTACTAAAGAGCGTTCGATCGAGCGGTGCGCCTTCGCTCCTTCCCTCCGACAGAGGGGGCAGATTCCATACACAGATTTAAACCCCTTTTGGGCCTACCGCACAATCGGTATACCCCTAGTGGGTCTGCCGTCTAAAACAGCAGTTGTCTTACCTCCTCGTTCCTGAACCTGAGTTCACACTCATCGACGGGGACACCCCAGCACTTCTTACGTAGAGGCCGATGATCTCCTGGACAACAGACCAGTGGCGCCGAGACGAAGGGAGGTCCACGCAGAAGTTCAGGGGTGCAGCCGTAGAGAACGTGGGCAAAGATAGACCGTCTCACGCCTCTGCCTCTCAGCTACCGTTGAACGATGAGCTTCCCGGCCAATGCACCAAATGATACCGGAGAAACTGACGGAAGCAAAGCACAGAGGGATGGACACAGGTTTCTTCAGGAAGGAAGAGATTCTTTATTGGATCACCGATCGGGACTCAGAGGGACTAATGTCACCAAAAATACAGCAAGTTCTGAGCCCTGAACAATAGTGCAGGCTTCCTATATAGGCACATAACTCCTCCCATATTAAGCTCCACCCGCACATTCTCTTGACCAATCATTACAAATAAGAATTAACTTCCTGCTTGACCACATGGCTTGTCCAGCACAATGGAGGAGGGGAATACTACATCCTGTATTCTTGCACATGCTCCGTACACTACTGATCGTATCTTGCCTCGTGCAACCAACTGATCGATACGTCAGCATATGCACGTACACATGCCATGTGGTAATCTCGGCCTACTAAATTTATTTTTACCGAGATTCCACCACACATTCAGAGTTCAATACACAAAAACCTCTGGCTTTCACAGAGGAGGTAACCGGCACCTGGCTGACCCCAGGTAAGTTGTCCAACCATTAGCAAAGATTTAACTACTTAAATTGCTAAAGAGGGTGAGGCATTACTCATACCTCCCAGCTTCAGCATCCTGCTTCACGGGACACCACTGGGAGGCTTAACCCCTTAAGGACACAATTTCAGAAATAAAAGGAATCATGACGGAATATTTCCGTCATGTGTCCTTGAGGGATTTATAGGGGGTGAGCCATTGATGAAACTAATTGGCTTTGCCTAGTGAAAGAATATCCGCATGTAGAACTGACAGGTCAGCCTGGTGTGAATGCATGTCACGCTGCCTGCCAATTAAGTAGGCTAGCTCTTCAAGAGCATCGTTTCAATGCTCGCTGCAGAGTCCTAATGCCCTGAGCATAGCGCACGCATGTCTAATTATGTGCTTAAGCTACACTGGTTGAGGACAATAAAGTAGGGATGGCGGGATAAGACCTAAAAATTGGAGCTGACCTGACGAAATCAGGATGGGTGGGAGGCCTGCGATAAGACACCCCTGCCTCCATGTTTATGGTGCTTTGCATTTTATTTTAATTTCTGTATTAAATCTACACGTTCTGTATTTTGAGCTATCACATTGGCCACTAATTTGGAAAAAAGAACCTGAAGATTATTTGTTTTATAATTTATCTGTGAAGCACGGGTCGTGATACCAGTTCTAATAAGCAATTTAAATGGTCATTAACCAAAGGGTGAAATGTTGAGAGTTTTAAAGTGAATTTAAATAACTTAAATCACAGTAAAACTTGACTAATTTAAAAAAAACAAAAAAAAAACCTGTTATAATCTAATTGGAAAACATCTACAAATGATCTATGTTTTCAGTTTAGATAAGTTTGATAAAAATGTGATTTTCACTTTAAATTCACACCCTGTGTGTGCTACAACCATCAGAGTACACACAGAGGCAACAGACAGCCAGCCCAGGGCTTGTCATTCTACTTTTAGCTCTCTATGGTAGATTTCTGGCGTCGCTCTGGTCTCTGTCACTCTCTATGGTAGATGGAACCGCTGCCGGGGTACTCTATGGTTTCCTGATCGTCTCTATGGTCCCAGGTCCGCCGCTGAGTTCGGTCTAAGGAGAGGATGAAGAAGGAATGGGGAGGGTGGGACTCGGTATAACAGCGGATACCGGCATGGAGGAGGGCGTGTGAGCCGAGGGAGGTGAGGACCGGAGTGTAATGGCTGTCAGTAGTGAGAGTGATGGCTGGGGGGAGTAAACTGGGTGGCTGAGTGTAATTAGTGTGGATACTGGGGGGGGACAGTAAGTACTGAGTGTTATTAGTGTGGATACTGGGGGGGGGGACAGTAAGTACTGAGTGTTATTAGTGTGGATACTGAGGGGACAGTAAGTACTGAGTGTTGGCTGTGTGGATTAAACTCTCTGGTTCTGTTACGTGTGCATTCTTACATCATGTCCATCTGTAGAACCACTGGGTGCTTGTAAATACATCCGTACGGCTTTAACACCAGTAGTTACAACCGTATAAAATCATTTAAGTCCGTCTTTCCCAATATATAAATTAATTCAATCCAGTTAATATAAATACAGCTAACCTGTTAGGGTTATAATCTGCTTCCAGTGTTACCTGTTGGGTCTATAGAAATTCATAGCTTGAACCTCCATTCTAGTTCACACCTCTGACTATAGTATCAAATAGTAACATAGCATACGCTGGACTAAATAATAATTCTTTACGCAGCAGCTTGACTCGACTTTCTGATCTTTTATTTAACACAGCATCACACGTTGAAAACAGGATACACGTGCAGGCACGTAATCATAAGTATTATACCTGTGATTATCTTTATACCGGGTTTTTACATTACGATTCTGTGATTAATAAAAGACCTGTAAGTTCAATAAAGCTGCTGCGTGACAAAGTATTCAAGTCTGGTATTTGCTATGTCAACATCTTTCCCTATACACTCCATTTAATGAACTGTGCTGATCTGTTGTAGGGATATGTATGAATATTGTGATTGCAAAAAGTAATGCTGAGATTTTGTACAATTTCTTCACATTTTAGCAACTCGTGGGAATACCCAGACACCTAGAAGCTAGACTTCTCTCGAGCCTGCGTCAGCAGGGACAGGAAGCATTGCGTAAACCAGACCTGGCATCCCCTCCCTCTTTCTCATGCCTTTTACTTTTTTATACAGACAATAGTGCATAGCAGAGAGAGTTACACCTTGATGGGGGTGTGACACTCAGTGTTTCCAATGCACACCCTGTATCTGTACATGCTGGAATACATGCTCAGTGCAGAGCACACTGTCATGATGACAGAACACACTGGGACTGCTTCTCTAGTGTCTGGTTTTGTTTGCAGTCTTATCCTTCTTGTGTATCCCACAGAGCTTACAATCTACAGGCATAATGATATGCCCCATCCAGGGGAGCTAACATCCTACAGTCGATAAACACATTGTTTGAAAGAGCTTACACTTTGGGTAGGGAGAGACCATTTCCATGGTAGCCTGTAATAAAGCATTATGCACAGCGGCCTTGTCCCAGTAAGCTTACAGTCTGCTTGTCTGTCAAGTCTTTATAAGTCTGCTACACACACGCCTGTGGAAATCCTCTGCTTAGACCTAACCTATATTCAGAGGCTGACGTTTGTTGTCACCTGTCTGTTCACCTGGATACCTGTAGCTTGATACTGTGGCAGGTCTCAGGTGTCAAATGTAACTCACACACTCTGTTTTCCATGTAACCCCAAGGCTTTGTTTGATGTTGAATTGAATTGTAAGAGGGCTCTCTACTTTCACTCTACATGTCACGTCAAACCCACAAAGTCATGGAAATAATGCTTAAACCTTCCCTCAGAGGTCATGGCACCGAGAATAAACTGCGGTGGCTCTTCATCCCTGTATTCATTCGTACCACCTTTGCTGCAATAGAACATTGCGCCATGTTTGTGAGCATGTTCCTTTTTATGTGTTACTGTTTGTTTAGCAGAGGCCAGGTGACCAGTTTGCTCTGGGTGGATGATATCTCTATTGCTCGACGGCTGATCATTCTGATACTACTCTCCATTTCACTCTCTGATTTAAAAAATACAAATGATCTAGAATATTGCCAACGTAACCTGTGTTCTTCTTCCATGAATGTAATAATGAGTTACGATGATTATTGAAGGCAGCTGTTTGTACATCAGCTCTGAGATATTATTTATGGATATGTATAATTTGGTTAGGTATGTCCATAGTTTGAGCAAATGTAGGAAATCCACAGGTGTTTTGTTTATTGTAGGGTATAATAACCAGCATCTTAGAACATGGTCTCTGTGATATACTGAATCTGCAAAATTCTTCATGAGTGAGGAGTGGAAAAGCTTGATAACCTTATTTATCAAAGGGAGAATTGTTGAGAATTCAACAGGGATTTCAAATTCTAGACAAAATTAGCCAAACTGGCTGGGGTGGATACCTTTTCGAGTTCAGCTGTATTAACTTGGTATTCCTGACAATTCTCACGTTGGTAAATGTGGTGGAACCAACCTCGCTACTGTGCACCTGAGGAGCCTGTCTTTTTTTTTTTTGTCTGGTGTATGACCGGTCATGTTTTCCTTTCCTTATGCTCCCTATATCTTAATAATTATACTCCCTGCTTTGAAGGGACACTATAGCATTAGGAATATAAACCTGTATTCCGAATGCTAGAGTACCCTTGTGCCTAGTTTTATACTTATATACAGATACGCACACACACACACACACACACACACACTAGTATTTTAAGAACAGGCTTTATTTGAAAAGCATATTGTGAACCTCATTTTAGTTATGTTTTACACCTGGACATATTACACTTTGTTGGGTATTTATTTTAATTTATTTTTTCTCTTGCTGTGTTTGTATCTCTGTATGAGTTTACATACTCATATTTTGGACCATAGAGCCAAACTTGCTCCATTTCTTTTAATCTGCATGCTATATGCACATACAGGCACATACCTGTGCGATGCAGACATGTCTTATCCAATCTGATCGAGATAGACTTAGCAAGCATTTTACATTCAGAGAACCTGCACTAGGAGCTTCCCATCTAGTCATTTTCTAAGATACCCTGTCCTTAAGAACTCACAGCCGTGTGGTTGCCAAGGAACCAACAGAGTGTAAAATCACAGAAGAGCATGTTTTCTCTCACCCCTGCCTCTCTCCCCGTATTATATCATGCAAGTGGTACTTATCACACGTGCCAAGAGAATTGGCTTACAGGATTCACACCTAATCTCACAGTGCTTTATCACATGCTCTGCCCCTGCAACGTGGGTGAGGTTATGGGCTGTTTGGATACTGCCGAGGATTGCATGATTCTATGGATCGCTCGGATATTCTTATTGTAATATATGTTGATAGAATGTTATAACGCCAAGGATCTGTCTTTATGTTTATACTTCTTATAATTGATGTAGATACAATATTACAATTGCCATTTAATAGTTGATGGCTGATGTGGGACAAATTTGTGTTCTATGCTCGAATATTGTTATATAGTGGCGTATGTATCATACAGTAATAATTTTTCATGATAGTTGTGATGTAGTAGGTAGATTATGTAGTTGCGTCATATCTATGTAATGTTTTTGATAGGGGTGATATGCGGCATATATCTCTATTATATAGTCATACCTTTATAGACTTCCAGGTATTATTATGTTGACAAATATTTTGTGTTCCTTTTTTAGGTTAGACTTGTGAATGACCATTGGGACACGAGAAACCATGGTGGAGCCAGCACCAGCAAAACTCAAAGACCAGACAGCAGCCTTAAAAGGAAACGGTGGTAGCACTCTGTGTGTGATCACAGAAGGTGTAGGGGAGCTATCTTTAGTCATAGACCCCGATGTGGCTCAGAGAGCCTGCCAAGATGTGTTGGAGAAGGTTAAACTCATGCATGGGTCTTCTGTGGAGAGTCTTGACAGGATGGAGGGTAGTGATGTTGGCGATGGAGGTGAACTAGCTAATGGAGACACTAGAGTGAAGGTGGTGGATCCAGCCCCTGCTGTCACCACCTCTCGCATAAATGAAGAGGATGAGGCATTGATAGACATTAACAGTGTGAAAAATGCCCGCAGAAGACAGAAGAACAATTCTGGCAAGCAATCATGGCTCTTGCGTTTATTCGAGTGCAAATTATTCGACATTTCTATGGCCATTTCATATCTTTACAACTCAAAGGAGCCAGGCGTGCAGGCCTACATTGGCAACCGTCTCTTCTATTTCAGAAATGAAGATGTGGACTTCTTCCTGCCGCAGCTTCTGAACATGTACATTAATATGGACGAGGACGTGGGAGATGCTATAAAGCCATACGTTGTTCACAGATGCCGGCAGAGCATTAACTTTTCTTTGCAGTGCGCTTGGCTCCTTGGAGCCTATTCCTCCGACATGCACATTTCCACACAGCGTCACTCACGTGGCACTAAATTGCGTAAGCTCATCTTGTCTGATGAGCTCAAGCCAGCCCACAAAAAGCGAGAATTACCACCTCTAAGCCTGGCTCCTGACACTGGTCTATCTCCATCCAAGCGGACACATCAGAGGTCCAAGTCAGATGCTACTGTGAGTATCAGCCTCAGCAGCAATTTGAAGAGGACGGCCAGCAACCCGAAGGTGGAGAATGATGAGGAGGTGAGTAGGGACACCCGTCACGAATACTAAATTTGGGGAAACAGTCCATACATGATTATACGCAAGCAGTAACTTGAGAATTGCAATTTTAAAATTTAGCATGCAGCAGTGCAAACTTTGGAGCCAGTTTACATTACTGTCTACATACTAGAAGTTAGTGCATTAACAAAAATTTGAATTAAACCGCTCCTAAGGTCACACTTTCATGGTGTAATGTATATGTAGCTTGAGTCTTGTTTTTGTCAAGATTTGAATTAGTCATCTCATGGTGTAATTTTAGTAAACATTTAGTAAGTTCTCTTAACTTTTAAAAAAATGTGTTTCCTTTCTGTCGGTATGTGTTAAATGCTATGTCCTGCTAATTATACAAATTATCAAATGTCTCGTTGTGCAACATTCACAGTTCGTTTCCCAGAATGCATTGTGAAATATGCTACTAACACGCTCATTTTTCCACTTCACGTATTTTGTTCCCTTAGCACTTTTGTAATTTTCTTTTGGCCTGTACATGGGGTAGGATCTAAATGTAATCACCTGGCAGAGCCATTTACGTTCTCATCTTTGTGCCCAAACAAACTACTATGTATACTGGAGAAGTGTATTTGCTGTTTGGGCTAATCGGGTATTTCTAAAAAGATTGGACGTTGTATGTCTTGTGAATCACAGTAAAGTAGGCAAATCCTGTCTGAATACTGGTTTTCCCTGTGTTAATAAGGAGTTCCCAGCTTGTTGCAGGCAGGTGTCCATGACTGATGGAGAACGCTGCCAATGCCACCCGCTGTCCAGTTGTCTATTGTCTGGGACAATGTATCATTGAATTTTCAGATGTGGAGGATGTTTCCTGGAGCTCTCGGGCAGGGTATGAATGGTGACAGTGATGGGGAGTGGGAGAGATTTCCTGCTGTCACAAAGTAATCCCCACAGGTTTAACCCATGTGTTACCGACTGTCTTAGTGTTATCCCTGACATAGTGTGCCAGGCCTGGATCGTCCCTGATGTCTCTGTGAACTGAATTGATAAATAGTCCCCACAATGTTTTGGTACATTGTGCAGCGTCTTACTGCAGTTTGAAGGAGAGGGATTAATTCCTATTTCATGATTTTCTCAGTATAAAGAGAATGTGATTGAATAGCCTTAATCGTCTCCTGTCTTTTGTACTGTGCTATAAGCCAGATTCCCCATGCAATGGTGGGGATATTCCTTAGTCACTGCCAGTCCTGCAGAGCAGAACACTTGCAAAAACACACCCACATGGGGTTAATGGCAACACATTCTTCTAAAAGGGTGTGGAAGGAGGGAGCCTGGAATGCTATGTGTATGAATGCTTCTAAACTGGTCTATGTGGCAGTGAGTGGGTTACATCGATCATGCTGATTGTGTCATGTCAGCACTTGGTGATAAGGAGAAGAAGAAAGGGTCATTGTGGTTTCTGCTCCCTCTAAGAAATGACCGATTACTGCATCAATGAGTGTGTGTGAGCCTGGTAACCTTTGTACACACAGCCACGCATCTACCACGTGTCAAAGGCACAGCTGACTGTCTCGTGAGTGTCAGTTTCATAGATTGCCAGATGAAACTGATGGTTTAAATATTATTGGAAGGAAATAGAGTTGGTTTAGTGTGCCAGATGAATCAACTGCACGTGGCAGCAGTGACAAATTGCACTGTGCTGGGTAGCCTACACCTGGCTGTAACAAATCACAATGTGCTGGGTAGCCTACACCCGGCTGTACCAAATCAGTGTGCTGGATAGCCTACACCTTGCTGTACCAAATCTCAATGTGCTGGGTAGCCTACACCTGGCTGTACCAAATCACAGTGTGCAGGATAGCCTACACCTGGCTGTACCAAATCACAGTGTGCCGGATAGCCTACACCTGGCTGTACCAAATCACAGTGTGCAGGATAACCTACACATGGCTGTACCAAATCACAGTGTGCAGGATAACCTACACCTGGCTGTACCAAATCACAGTGTGCAGGATAACCTACACCTGGCTGTACCAAATCACAGTGTGCAGGATAACCTACACCTGGCTGTACCAAATCACAGTGTGCAGGATAACCTACACCTGGCTGTACCAAATCACAGTGTGCCGGATAGCCTACACCTGGCTGTACCAAATCACAGTGTGCCGGATAGCCTACACCTGGCTGTACCAAATCACAGTGTGCCGGGTAGCCTACACCCGGCTGTAGTACCAAATCACAGTGTGCTGGGTAGCCTACACCCAGCTGTGGTACCAAATCACAGTATGCCCGGAAGCCTACACCCGTCGGTGGTACTAAATCACAGTGTGCCAGGTAGCCTACACCTGGAGGTGGTACCAAATCACAGTGTACCAGGTAGCCTACACCCAACTGTGGTACCAAATCACAGTATGCCGGGTAGCCTACACCCGGCGGTGGTACCAAATCAGTGTGCTGGGTAGCCTACACCCGGCAGTAGTACCAAATCACAGTGTGCCAGGTAGCCTACACCTGGCGGTGGTACCAAATCACAGTGTGCCGGGTAGCCTACACCTGGCGGTGGTACCAAATCACAGTGTGCCGGGTAGCCTACACCTGGCGGTGGTACCAAATCACAGTGTGCCGGGTAGCCTACACCTGGCGGTGGTACCAAATCACAGTGTGCCGGGTAGCCTACACCTGGCGGTGGTACCAAATCACAGTGTGCCGGGTAGCCTACACCTGGCGGTGGTACCAAATCCCTGAGGATGCTTGGTAAGCAAGTCACGGTATCCTCTTTATAATTATTCTAGAATAGAATATGCTGTTCCCATGGAAATAATTGGTTTTTTTTTGGTAGTTTTTTGTATATTTTAAAAAAAACAAAAAACTTTTTTTAATATTTATTATAAACTGTTAATGTTTTTAACTTAAAAGTTGCAATGCCGTTAATACTGTGACTCAGGTTTATGTAGGTTATTATACCACATGTGTTGGACTCTGGTTTGTTGATTTTATTTGGTGAGAAGCAATGATTACTGTTCCCTGGTCCATCTCTGTCACAGAGCGCTTGAATTGATTATCACTCTTAGGGCACAATATTATGCTAGCTGCTTAATTACGGTGTATATAACATCCTCTGGGTCAGATGGAGAGAACTGTTTGGATGTTTTGTGATATAAGGGTGATACAGAAAGATATGTATGTACTTAAATTTCTGCCTAGAACTGTACATACTTATACACAGATATCATGTTGGATAAGCTAACCCCATATAATTTAATTATGTATAGGGGTACGTACCAGGGCCATTATAATTCTACTTTGTGTTTTGATAGTTTTAAATACACTGATTATGCTGAATGGTAATAAAGAATACTGAGTGATCCGATACACTAGTTGCCAAAAGTGAATATTCAGCATACAGAGAGAAATGACAGACCACAAAGATTTCATAATGCCATCACGTGTTTTGAAAGCCTGGAGTCTGTTTAGCAATTTGGTTCTTCAGCTCAACATTTTAATCATATGGATTGCTGTAGAGCAGGCTTCCCCAAACTCCAGCCCTCCAGATGTTGCTAAACTACAACTCCCATGATTCTTTGAATTAAATAGGCTGAACATATCTAATCTGTCAGGGTGAGGTGGACTTGCAGAGAGGGGTGGAGCTAGAATGGCTGGGCCTGCGGATGGATTTGGCATTTCAGCTTATGGAAAGCTGTGGACTTCAGCCTGCAGATTATGTTTGAGGACAGTTCATCTGTAGGAGAGAGTTTGAAGTTTGGGGATCTGTGAACAGAGATCTCTTGCATTCAGTGTTAAATATATGGAGTACTGCATGGTTCAGAATACGTGGAGTTGTCTGGATCACTGTGGATTTCAGCATTCAGTCTACGGAGGGCTTCTGGCTTTATGGCTTTACTTGCTAAGTCTGGGAACTGACAGACAGTAGGTGGGCATGGAGACATAACACTATCTGACTATGCTTCCGTCATTTGGCTTTTATACTAATTTCGACCAAGAGCCATGAACACCACGGTGACATTGTACATCCGAATAAAATATCAAAATATGTCCTGAAGGCCCACTTACAAACCCTAGATACTTATCTAAAACGCACACATTGACCACCAGGAAAGTTCCGTCTCATGAGTAAGTTATAAAATAAATGGATCAGAACTCGCTAGATACATTGTGGGTCATTTTACTTATATTGTGCTGCTGGTGTGTTATGTGGCACTCATACTGTGGGGTCCCTGAGCAAGGTATGTTGGACAGTTAGCCACACTATATAAATTTATTATCATGGAGATACCCTCTTAAGGAATTATCAGCTAATAGCAGCTGCCCTACAAGATTGCCTGGGAATAGAGGCTTGGCCTCCCCTTCTTAAAGAAGGAATTGGGCAAAATTGCCAACACAACCCATGGGGGTCACGTTGAGCAAGATCTCCTTTAGATTGCATAGTACCCCACATACATTATTTTCAATATTCTACTGAAAACACTTCTGAAATCATCCCCCACCCTACAGAAAGAATTGAAAGTACATGTTCAAACATCTGCTTTTATTCTCAAACATGACTCCTGTGATATCAGTCATTCATTTGTTGCAAACTCAGTCACTGTGGATGGGTTTGGGATGTCTATGGAGAGCTGCAGAGTTTAGCCTGTGGGTAGATTTGAGGTTGGGTCTATGGAGAAGTGTTAGGTTCAACTTTAGGTTAGATTTAGGAGAGATGCTGGGTTCAACCTATGGTCTGGTTTTGGGTTGGGTCTGTGGTGAGATGCTGGGTTCAACCTATGGTCTGGTTTTGGGTTGGGTCTGTGGTGAGATGCTGGGTTCAGCCTGTGGTTTGGTTTTGGGTTGTGTCTGTGGTGAGATGCTGGGTTCAGCCTGTGGTTTGGTTTTGGGTTGTGTTTGTGGTGAGATGCTGGGTTCAGCCTATGGTCTGGTTTTGGGTTGGGTCTGTGGTGAGATGCTGGGTTCAGCCAGTGGTTTGGTTTTGGGTTGGGTCTGTGGTGAGATGCTGGGTTCAGCCTGTGGTTTAGTTTGGGTTGTGTCTGTGGTGAGATGCTGGGTTCAGCCTGTGGTTTAGTTTGGGTTGTGTCTGTGGTGAGATGCTGGGTTCAGCCTGTGGTTTGGGTTGGGCCTGTGGTGAGATGCTGGGTTCAGCCTGTGGTTTGGGTAGGGTCTGTGGTGAGATGCTGGGTTCAGCCTGTGGTTTGGTTTTGGGTTGGGTCTGTGGTTTGAGTTGCTGGGTTCAGCCTGTGGTTTGGTTTTGGGTTGGGTCTGTTGTGAGATTCTGGGTTCAGCCTGTGGTTTAGTTTGGGTTGTGTCTGTGGTGAGATGCTGGTTTCAGCCTGTGGTTTGGTTTTGGGTTGGGTCTGTGGTGAGATGCTGGGTTCAGCCTGTGGTTTGGTTTTGGGTTGGGTCTGTGGTGAGATGCTGGGTTCAGCCTGTGGTTTTAGTTTGGGTTGGGTCTGTGGTGAGATGCTGGGTTCAGCCTGTGGTTTGGTTTTGGGTTGGGTCTGTGGTGAGATGCTGGGTTCAGCCTGTGGTTTGGTTTTGGGTTGGGTCTGTGGTGAGTTGCTGGGTTCAGCCTGTGGTTTGGTTTTGGGTTGGGTCTGTGGTGAGATGCTGGGTTCAGCCTGTGGTTTGGTTTTGGGTTGTCAGGGGTGAGATGCTGAGTTCAGCCTGTGGTTTGGTTTTGGGTTGTGTCTGTGGTGAGATGCTGGGTTCAGCCTGTGGTTTGGTTTTGGGTTGGGTCTGTGGTGAGATGCTGGGTTCAGCCTGTGGTTTGGTTTTGGGTTGTCAGGGGTGAGATGCTGGGTTCAGCCTGTGGTTTGGTTTTGGGTTGGGTCTGTGGTGAGATGCTGGGTTCAGCCTGTGGTTTGGTTTTGGGTTGGGTCTGTGGTGAGATGCTGGGTTCAGCCTGTGGTTTGGTTTGTTGTGTCTGTGGTGGGATAGTGTTTTCAGCCTGTTGAAAAGTTTGGGTCTATGGAGTTCTGGCCGCTTTAGGGTTCTTGTTACATTGCCTTTTACATTTTTCTCACTGTCATTTTAGTCCTGATAAAATTAGTGAACGCTCAGAATATTGCATTGAGCAAATGACTCTGCTGTGACTGATTAGTTTATAGAGCTCCAGCATATTCTACTGCCCTGTATAATAGCATAATGCTATAGACTGAGCATGGTAGCTTGTTCCCCATTTGACAGAATGTTAGAATGGTGGATACCACATTGCTTTTCAGTTCAAAGGAGCTACCAAAGCATTCTCTAAGAATAATGTGATCGGAAAAGGAAGTTTATTTTAAGATGTTATTCTGAGTTGAGGTGGGAGGAGATTAGGCCAGTGTTATTAAGAAAGTGGCAGTTTTCAGTACAACACTTCCTGCCATATAATCCTTTAAATTCAATCAGGTCTGGAATAGCAGTTGCCGTTGTCAGGATTTAAAACATGGGCCGCTGCAATAAAGATTGAAAATGTCTGTGATCCTGCCTCTCTAACTCTGTATAGCAGTAGAACAGTCTGTATTTACCCCATCATTGAGCAGGATGCTTTGCCCTGCTACCTTCATCACTTGACTTGGGAAAGGGTGGGTGCAGGTTATCATTATAACACTGATGCCTAAACCTCTGCCTTTTTCTCCCCTCTACCCCCTATTGCCTTTTACCTCCTGTCATACCCTTTTTCCCAGGAGCTCTCGTCCAGTTCGGAAAGTCTCGATAGGTCCTTCTCCTCCGTAAGTGGCCAGTTTTCATGTAGTTGGCTGGGGGTCTTACTGGCTTTCTCTCTATCTCTCAGCAGCATTTCCTCTGTAGGGAATACAAATATTAAGTATGAGATCCCCCTCCTCACCTGGCCCCCCTGCATGTGGTACCTAGCTATGCATCACACAATGGAAGAGATTCCCTGTGCTCTTAGTAAGCTGGTGAACATATATAACAGATATCCATGCTTTATGCACAGAGTTTAATTTAGATTTGTTATAAAAATAAAAATAAATCACTGAAGTGAGGCTGATGTCATCACATGTTCAATATGGCTGCCCTCTCGTCATGGCAGGTGTTTGTCCCTGTGTAGGTGACACTTGATTGCCTATGTTCTGTGTGCCATCATGTCAAAACAGACACGCATCTGCTCCACCACTGCATGATCCTTTTAAAACCTGTCTCTTTGCTTACACCTGCATGCTGGCTTCATGGCAGAGTGTGGGTGGGGATGTGGGTTTATTATCAACTGGGTCCTGCATCCCTGCCTCCGGCCTCAAGGAAATATGACAAATGTTTTGGAACTTTTTTGTTCTTTCCATTTCCTGTCTGTGGATTACAGTCCCATGTCCCACCACCAGGCCAGGTTTTTCAATATTCCCATAGGAGCAGGATTGGGTTATCCTTAAATCACTAATCATTGGTGGAGAACCAATTTAGTATTTCTTTTCTCCACCGACTTGGTAAATCCAAGAATATCTTGAGATATATTCTCCATAACAGTACACTTTTTTCCTTTATTAAAAAAGTTGTCTTTAAAAAAAAATTAAAAATTATATCAATATATTTTAAAAAAAATAAATAAATGAAAATATATTTTTATCCCAAATTTTAGAATTTGCTTAGTTGGCCATCACTGACCTAACACAAAACAGACTCTGTAGACTCCCAACTGTAATGGCTTGCTAAATCTACCATCACTTAAAATATTTATAATACAGAGCAATTAATTCAATTGAAAGCGTCTCAGAATAAGATTTAATTATAGTAAATTGTTAATAATTACTCTGTCCTGAGTTCACAGCTCACTCTCGTGGTAACCACTCAGTCCATGCAGATTCATACAACACACATACTGAGGTGACCAGCAGAGGAAATGCTGTATGTCCTTGAGGTTTTTTTTTTAATTTTTCAATTAATAAAATTGGGTGAAATAATATATTTTTTATGATTAAATCTAGTTACCTCCCCCTTATTGATCTTCATTTACATTTTTTTTTTCCCTTTACTTTCATTTCCCCCTCCCTTTTCATCTGCAAATCGTAAGAGTTTATTTCTATACAAATTGTATAAGCTGATTTTGTGAGCTTGTAAATTCTCTGCAAAGATATATTGAGGTGTGAACTGAAAATATTTTTCCTAAAATGATAAAACAGAAGCAACAATTGAATATTTATTGATTAAATCTGTTTCATTCGTAGCGTTCGTAACCAAAACTACTCATTGTCTTTGTTTCTGCTTTTTGGGAGAAATTTGTGATCATGACCATTCAAAGCAAAACTGCGAGTTTAAAATGTAAATTGTTAATGACACAGAGCTGTAATGACGCTGTGTTCATATGAGCGCTGGTTAATGACATCACCGTTCCTTATCGGATATCTGCGTTCCGGATTCTGTGTATTGCAAATCATGCTTGCAGTGATAAGTGCTAGAGTTTACTGCTTTGCACGAGGTTGAAAGGGGAAGAATCACTTCTCAGGATTTACAATGTATTATGTTTACTATTTCTATATGTTTAACATAAATGTATTTGTGAGGTGTGTAAAGATTAAATATAAAATCCACACTGTTTATCCTGCAACATGAACCTCCAACTTAGCCCCCTGTCAATCATTGTTGTCAGCTCTGTCCTTTGTACCTGGCAGTCCGAAGACAGAAAACATACAAGGAAGCAGACAAATGTGCCTTTACTGAACTGGATTCAGATTTATAATGTAAAATCTTTCATTTGAAGTTTAACGCAAGTTATATAGGTACTTTTCAATGGTGTTCTTTCCAAAGAAGTGACTGTTTCCCTTTAAGAACGTGGCTTGCAAAGCAGAGAACTGCGCACTAATGACGCACACCATTATAAGTGGTGCTTCTGTGTGTATGTAAGAGGGTGTTTACTCTTCCATAAAATATTTACTTTTCACATCCTTTGTATAGAAAGAAATGGTCCCTTTTGTGTTGTGTGTGTGTGTGTGTGTGTGTGTGTGGTTCCATGTAACCGGATCCCATCTGGAGGGTTCTGGGCAATTTACAGAACAGGAGCAAATTAATTCTTTTATCCAAATTATAATGTTGTTTTTCAGACTTGTTAATGTATTTAAAAAGCTGTGGATGATTTAATTTATGGTTTTAACTTAAGGTAGGTCTAACAGACAAAAACACAAGGATTAGCCTATTACTAATGGTACATGGCTGAGATTGTTCTTTATCCATCTTAATGTTGGTAGGTATGTAAAAGGAGTGTTGGTGGTTTTCTGCATCAAACTGCACTGTGTCTCTGGAAAGAAAAATGTGTATTGCTTTTAATAGAATTTACAACGGTGGAACTTCTAATACAATTATACTGTAACGAGTTCTATATGTGGCTGTTATGGAAGCTGAAGTCTGTGTTCCATCATTCCTCTTGACACCATTATTGAATGCGTGACACAATGTAAGACTTATCTTATGGGTGCAGGTTATTTTAAACACAAAAAGAATTCAGCGCTAGTAATCACAAAATTAGTCAAGGTAGGCAGCAACCCAAATGAAGGAAAACCCCTCGGGTCCTTCGGTGGATAGATACAAAAAGATATGGAAGGGCTGCGCCAAATAAGGGTATATAGTCCAGTAAAGTATTGCTAGGGTGCCAATAGATGGTCTAGGATACTTGATAGAGTTCCTCTGTGGATGCGTCTGGTGTAGACCGTTCCGTATATGTAAATACAAGAGAGGTAGAGGCGACTAATGGTATAGTATGAAAGTTCAGGGTGTGATAGGTAACAAAAAGTAAAGAACTCACATACAGGAGAGCTATGGCCAGCTCTGGTGTGGATTGCGTACAGCGGTATAATCCCCGCTTATGGGATATGTAGGGAGGGGTCTCCGTCAGCACCGTCTGGTAGTCCAGAGCTCGAAAAAGAAAGACAGAAAGCAACAATAGTGCTCTCAATTTTGATGTGGTTCAATGTGCAGATAAGAAGAGGTAAAAAACTCACATTTGAGGGAGCTATGGCCAGCTCTGGTGTGGATAGCGTACAGCGGTATAATCCCCGCTTATAGGATATGTAGCGGCGATACGTCCGTCAGCACCGTCTGGTGATCCAAGGCTCCAATATAGAAGAATAAAAAGCAGCAATAGTGCTCTCAATTGTGATAGGTTAAGAGAGTAGTAGAGAAAATAAAATAATACTCACAAAGATAGAGCAGAGGTACTGCTCTATGGATAGGCGCCGGTGGTATGATCCCCACCTAGGATTTCTTGGAGTACTGGAACTTTAAAATTGCCAATGGAAGTAAAAGTAACCAGGAAAGGTTAAAATGCCAGGAATAGGTAAAAACAAAAGTTGTTTAAAGTGCATAAAGAGTGCAATAAAAAGAGGATTGGTACAATAAAGTAGCCAAAAAACTTTTATTGATCTAAAATACACAGTAAAATACAGAATTAATCAACCTTTCCTGGTTACTTTTACTTCCATTGGCAATTTTAAAGTTCCAGAACTCCAAGAAATCCTAGGTGGGGATCATACCACCGGCGCCTATCCATAGAGCAGTACCTCTGCTCTATCTTTGTGAGTATTATTTTATTTTCTCTACTACTCTCTTAACCTATCACAATTGAGAGCACTATTGCTGCTTTTTATTCTTCTATATTGGAGTCTTGGATCACCAGACGGTGCTGACGGACATATTGCCGCTACATATCCTATAAGCGGGGATTATACCGCTGTACGCTATCCACACCAGAGCTGGCCATAGCTCCCTCAAATGTGAGTTTTTTACCTCTTCTTATCTGCACATTGAACCACATCAAAATTGAGAGCACTATTGTTGCTTTCTGTCTTTCTTTTTTGAGCTCTGGACTACCAGACGGTGCTGACGGAGACCCCTCCCTACATATCCCATAAGCGGGGATTATACCGCTGTACGCAATCCACACCAGAGCTGGCCATAGCTCTCCTGAATGTGAGTTCTTTACTTTTTGTTACCTATCACACCATACCATTAGTCGCCTCTACCTCTCTTGTATTTACATATACGGAACGGTCTACACCAGACGCATCCACAGAGGAACTCTATCAAGTATCCTAGACCATCTATTGGCACCCTAGCAATACTTTACTGGACTATCTACCCTTATTTGGCGCAGCCCTTCCATATCTTTTTGTATTTTAAACACAAGCCAAGTGCCAACAACCTTAACATAGATTTCCTTACCAAGTGATGTCAGTGTGTTAATGGTGGAGCATATTGCCCTGCCTCCAGTTCTAAGGCGTTGTCTACCTGCTGTGTGTTATGTTCGTGTTAATTTAAAGGGCTCACATGGTAATCGTGCTTGTTATTTTGCTGCTGTAAATATACGTAGGCCTGCATCACATGCAACTAAAGGGCTAGAATCCATTATTAACTTAATTTGGCTAATCCGCCCAACATTTCTGTCCGAATATTGGCCTTAACTATATTTTAAAATGTTTAGGGCGAAGCATATTTCAGAGGCATGTCAGGTGGGAATGGTGGGCTGTCCTAGTGTTGCATGTTTTGACTGTTTCTTTGATTCCGGCAGCCGGTCCGGCTAGCACCAGAGAGGGAGTTCATCAAGTCTCTCATGGCCATTGGTAAACGTCTGGCAACACTCCCCACCAAGGAGCAAAAGACCCAACGGCTCATCTCCGAGCTCTCTCTCCTTAACCACAAGCTACCAGCACGTGTCTGGCTGCCCACTGCTGGCTTTGACCACCATGTGGTTCGTGTCCCTCACACACAGGCGGTAGTCTTGAACTCCAAGGACAAGGTATGATTTTCCATGGAGCAACTTTGGGTCATTAATTTAGGGTTTTTGCTTACTGACAGAGCTAAAATAGCGTCACATATGTTATATAATGTGTATGTTTATTATTCCTTACAACATAGGCTCCATATTTGATCTATGTGGAGGTCCTGGAGTGTGAGAATTTTGAGACATCTGTGGTGCCAGTACGGATCCCAGAAAACAGAATTCGGAGCACGCGGTCTGTGGAGAACCTCCCAGATTGTGGCATGACTCACGAACAGAGAGCCAGCAGCTTCACTACAGTCCCAAATTATGATAATGATGATGAGGCCTGGTCTGTAGATGACATTGGCGACCTGCAGGTAGAGGTGAGATCGCATGCAACTCTCAGCTGAGATGGTAGAAGTTGGGCGGGCAATTGGATTTATACCCCATTCTGAATTTGACTGATTCTGGGTGATAAATTCTCAGTGATATTTTAGTTTTATATTTTGTATATTTATTTTTGTGCCCTGGTGGACCCAATCTATTTTTTTCATGGTGACAGTTGCCAGAAGTTCATACCAACAGTTGTGACAACATCTCCCAGTTTTCTGTGGACAGCATTACCAGCCAAGAAAGCAAAGAGCCAGTTTTCATCGCAGCCGGGGACATCCGGTAAGAGCTTCAACTTTAAGTGTACCATAGTTACATAGTAATATAGGCTAAAGAAACACTTAAGTCTATCAAGATCAGACATATATGTATTACTGTTGTTGATCCAAAAGAAGGTAAAAACCACAATGTGATGTGATTTCTAATTTTGTCACACATTGGGAAAGAGAAAAATACTTGACAAAAACCTCTCTTTGTATCAAAAAGCTGCTACCTCACATGTTAACGATTATACTCCTGGATGTCCTGGTTTTCAAAGAAATACATTATGACTTAAAGGAACACTATATGTTCAGGACATGTATTCCTAACCCTACAGTGTTTAAAAATACCATCTAACCCCCCTGGCCCACTTTGCCCTCCCTAAAGATAGTAAAATCATACTTTTACTCCAGTCTGCTGCTGCTGATTCCGCCCCTGATTTAATAGACAAAGATATAGATTGCGCTAGAGAACAATATGGAGAGTGAATAAGGTACAGGGAATAAAATAGGTATATGGAAAAACTGGTGCCCTAAGGCAGTGGCAGTCATAACAAAGTAAAGTCTTAGGGATAAAAAAAAGTCTCTAGTTGCCTGGATAGGTATCCTTCTTCAGACATAAAGGTTACCGGGATGCTCAGGGTCCACATGTGTGTGTGTATATATATAAAAGAGAGATAAATAAAACTCCAATAGTGTAATAAGTCCAAAGTAAAGTGCACAATTATAGAAGACTTCCAGATTTTCTTTTTTTTTGTAAATATGTTTTTATTTGTTGTGCACAAATAGGGGAAAACGGAACAGTGAGACTCGCAGGTCTCCGTTAACCTAGCAAGTACAATAACACGTGAACAACATGCGAAAGAATAGGTTTTAACGAATGTGAGGATTGGCTTTAGAAAATGTGAATGATCAACATTTGGGCTCGCAGGCCCATATTGTGAATGGACTAGCAGGTCCCTCGTCATATTATTTTTCCGTGAATATAATCTTTTGTTTGTTTTTCCATTGAAGTAATTAACTGCGTGGCTTGCACGTCTTCAGTTACGTTTAACCTAGAACAATTTTAAACATTTGCATGTTCAATTGGGCTCGCAGGCCCGCATTGTCGGCGGACTTGCAGGTCCCTTACATTTGAAACGTGTGTGTGTGTATATCCCTACTGTGTAAGTCTGTCTGCGGGAAGGTCGTGTAACAGCCCGGGTCACGTGGTCTGCGTCTTTCGTCTTTGCCCCTCTTTGTAGGGCCCTGTCTGGTTTGTGTTCTCCTTGTCTACGTGTCTGGTCCTCTCGTGTCTGTTTTAGTGTTTAGTGGTCCCCTTAGTACTGGTAAGCTGGTGTTGCGGAGGGTGCTACAACCCCTGAGGGCTGTCTTCCCCCCACCTCTCTGGTTTTGTGGTGTCTTTTGGCTAAGTTCATGGTGGTGTCGATGTCAATTTAGTGAAGTCTGGGTCGGTTGTCTTCAGGATCCAATGTGTCCAAGTGTTGAGGTACACTTGGAATGTGTCGTTAGCGATATGATGAAGTTCCTCTAGGGATCTCAGTTCCTCCATTTGTGTGAACCAGGCTCTCAGGGGAGGGGTAACCTGTTGTTTCCAATACTGTGGTACTATCAATTTGTCCGTGTTCAATATGCGGATTGTGAGCGATTTCTTATACGCTGTTCTGGGGATTTTGGTGTGGTGTAAGAGCATTGCTGCTGGGCTAAGTTGGAAGGGGTCGTCTGTAAACTTTCCTAGTATCTGATGTATACCCGTCCAGTATGGGGCTATCTTTTTGCACTCCCACCAAATGTGTAGGAGCGTGCCTCTTTCCTCCCAGCACCTCCAACACTTGGGGGGGTTGGATGTGATTCGGGCATGTAGCGTCACGGGAGTGTAGTACCTGTGCGTCATTAATTTATATGCCATTTCCTGTGTCCTGCTAAAGCTGGAGCAGTGGTGTGTCAGATAGCAAATTTTCTCCCACTCCGCCTTGTCAAAGGCATGGCCTAGCGCCGCCTCCCACTTCCCCATGAACTGTGGTTGTGCAATTGGTGTGAGTGTTAGTAAAAGAGTGTATAGTACAGACACTCCATGTGCTAGTGGGTCGGGGTCTAGGCATAGGTTCTCGAAGGGGGTAGTGGTCTGATGTAGTATCGGTCCCTGTGAGAGTGAGGTGATATAGCTCCGAATCTGTTCCCCCTCAGATCCTTGAGTGTCTTGATGCCCTCAGTGGTGTGGATGTGTCTGAGTCTGGGTAATGGGTCCTGTATTAGGTCTTTGAACGCTTTCGGGTTCATTCCCGGTGGAAGTCAGGGTTGTGTATCAGAGGTAATAGTGGAGTTGGGTATGAGGTTAGGCCGTGTCTCCCTTTTGTGCGGTTCTATTCTTGTAAGGTCGCTCTCGTGTAGGGGAACTGTTTCTCGTCCCCTTTCTGAGCCTCGGGTGGTATTGCGACCGGGACGCCCGCCTCGTGTTCATCTACCTGCTTCCACTGTTTGTGTTCCTGGTTTGGTCCATTCCATTATCCGCATGAGATGGCAGGCCCTATAGTAGAGGTTGAAATCTGGCAGTGCCAGTCCTCCCCTGTCTTTTGGTTGTGTGAGTAGTGCATGGCGCAACCTGGGCTTTTTCCCATTCCAGACAAATTGGCTTAGAGCTGTGCGTAGCGTAGAGAAGTACGCTCTGGGAACCGTTATGGGGATAGTTTGGAATAGGTATAGTAGACGCGGCAGGAAGTTCATCTTCACCACCTGTATCCTGCCTAGCCATGAAATGTGTGGGTGTGCCCATTCCTGCATCTCCGAGCGCATCCTCTCATGCATTACGGAGAAGTTTTCCTTGAATAGGTCCCCTTCTCGTTTGGTTAGCCAGATACCTAGGTATTTGATTTTATGTGTTGCCCATTGAAATGTGTAGCGTTGGTGTAGAGTTTCCGCCCTGCGTGCCGGGACGTTAATGTTAAGTATAAATGATTTAGTGAGGTTAATTTTTAGGTTGGAGATTCTACCGAAGTCCTGAAATGCTTTCAGTATGTTGGGGAGGGATATTTCTGGGTTAGTTGCATAGAACAGTAAGTCATCAGCATATGCCGCTATCTGGTGTGTCGTCCCCGTCTGCATCCCCGTGATGTCTGGGTTGTTCCTGATGGCCACCAGCAGGGGCTCTAGGGCAAGGACGAAAAGGATCGGGGACAGGGGGCATCCCTGGCGCCTGCCGTTTTGTTTGTCAAACGGCTCCGTCAAGGCGCCGTTTATGACCACCTGCGCGGATGGTTGCTTGTATAATGCCTCTATCCACCCCCTGATACCCGGGCCAGACCAATGTGGGTCAGGGTCTGGAATAGGTATTTCCATCCAACCCTGTCGAAAGCCTTCTCCGCGTCCGTGGATAGCAGGAGAAGGCCTCCCGGAGCGTGCCTTCCACCGTGCATCAGTGTGAGGGTGCGTATAGTGTTATCTCGTGCCTCTCTCCCCATCACGAACCCCACCTGGTCAGGATGTACCAGATTGGGCACATGTCTGTAGTCTAGTCGCCAAGATTTTGGCTAGTAATTTGAGGTCAGCCGACGTTTGGTCAGCATGCGTGCCAGCAACCTGCCACTCTTATTGCCGTGTACGGCAAAGAATGCCTTATGTCGTAGTGCGTCCCTGTGGTACCTCGTCTGGAGCAGTTTAGTGAGATCTCTGTGCAGTGTGAGCAGTTGTCCCTGCAGTTCAAGGTTGTCTATCTACTGAATTTTCGTCAGTATGTTGGTCATGGCCGCCTCCCTTTGTTTTTTCAGTATGGTGCTCTTTTGTAGGAAATACCCCTGATCACGCTCTTGTGTGCCTCCCACATGATCGTTAAGGGAACTTGCGCCCAGATCCCAGTACAAATAACTGAACGCGGTTCATTTTCCCGTATCAGGACCACTTCGTCTAAACGATTGCATGAACTGAGGGAATAAAAGTCCTGAAAACTGAAAAATTCCCGAACGGCTCGGAAGTCCAGCGCTGGCTTTCCTCGAATAAAGATGGCCGCCGCCTCGTGTTCGGTACACGAATGGCGGCCACCTGCAACAGACCGCAATTACCACTAATACATTGTTGCAAAGTACCTAATTGGAGACACACGACCTGCTATGGGTGGTCTCCCATTCGGTACTTTGCAAATTCCACGAACAGTGCGGTGATTCACTGTTCGTGGATAAACAGATGATGAACACTAGCGGCATTCGTGTGCTGTAACACGCGAATGCCACATACGTTACACAATATGTTTAACAGCAAAAGAAATATACAGTTCGGTTGAATAAGTGGCTAGGTTTGCCACAAGGAGTAATAAAGGTTAAATGTACTCACAGTTTTCTGAGCAGGTAACCCACTCAGTTTACTCAGCGTGGGTGGTATAATCCACACCTGGGATTCTTTTGTGAGATCCTCACTGTGGAGGTAAAACAGGATGCCAAAAAAAGAAATAAAAGCAAATAATTTTTTTTAAAAAAAGGTTTATGGCACAATCACTGAATAGAATGTCCAATAAACCTTTATTATTAATAAAAATAAAAAAATTCCCAACACGTTTCTTCCAAACAGTACTTTCTCAAGTGGTTATCAAACATATACCTGGCATTCACAGTCTTTTTGTAAACTATTATAGCGGAGAGCTGGTCTCCCACAGCCTATTTCCGCTGGAATCCTAGAATGGCTCAGGAACAAGTAGTAAATCCAATAGAGTAGCAGGCACAATCAGCAATATAATGCAAGAATATCCCATCACCTTTCTCAATTACTGGACACAGTATCCGGAGCAGAACTGACCTTTAATCACACAACCCCTGCTTTTATGCAATGCTCCTGTGCAAGGGAGACACTCACAATAATTAGTACAGTAACCAATAATATTACAGTAACCACCCACAATTCTCCTCCCCTCAGATAAGCATTTAACATAATTAGCAAGTACACACTTCTCCCCGTGTTTTAGATGTACCCCAAATACATAGGGTACACCTTATGTATTTTTAAATCCCCTGATAGCCCTTATCTGGGTGAGCAACATATTCAAAAATCACCCAGATCAGACCAGGGGTTCGAGAGTTATGGAGGTTTAAAGTTTTGACCGACCGCAAAGGCAACAGTTCGGTTGTTTTTGCACGAATCTATGGGAGTCTGGAGGTCTCAGCGGTGTTTGCTTAGTCGCGTGTCCGATTTTTAGTTCCAGACACTCGACGGCAAAACACCGCTGTTCGGGAGTTTAAGATGGCCGCGGCCACCCAGGGACTTAACAAAGTGTTTGTGAGTTTCCCACAAGAGGTAATAAAAACGAATTGGGAGGTTAATTGAAGTCACACTTATGCATCCAGGTGGTCTGGTTTTCGGTAGTTTGTGTTCGTATGGTGAATGAAGTATTTCAGTACAGTTTATGGGAACAATTAGACAAACGTTTTAATTCACACGAAAGTCTATGGGGAAAACAATGAGCGGGGAATATGCTGGACAGCCAGGTGGATTTTGCTACAACTATAAAACATGGTAATTGCAAATTTGGCGGGTAAATGACGTCACCTGGTCATAACACTGACCTAAATTACAATTCGTTAAAATAAGGAAAAGATTATACTTTATAAAAGATATGGATGTACAGATTCAAATAAAAAATAAATAAGTAAAAAAACAAGGGTTATAACGTTAAATAACCGTAAAATAGGAAAGTGGGCGTGCAGGGAGAGTGACGGCTGTGACGTCACATGCCCGGGAACTATTGGAAAATGTAGTAGAGAGGCAAGGGGACAGGCCTCTACCTAATGCAGCCAATAGGCTATGAAGGGGGCGGAGCCGAAAACCAAAATATAAATACGACAAGACTATACTAAATAGTCTGCAATACTAGGGGTATACCGGGAAGGCAATAAAATGACACAAGCCACATACACATCATCTGATATATGGGCGGGATCAGAATAAAACTTAGAGGGCATATACTGGAAAAATGAAATGATAGTGCGCCGTGGGTCACATGACTGTTAGCGGTGGCCATATTGGGAGAGGAAGGGGATAGGAGAAGAAAGGTGGCCATATTTAGAATGGAAAAAATGATAGAGAGTATGAGTAACAGGGAATAAATTAAATATAATAAAATATAGTTAGAAATGAATGAGATAGGGATAGTATAGTAATAGAAAAAGGAAACAAAAATATCAAAATAACTAAAGAAAAATGAAATAAGAATAGGATAAACTGAGAAACAGAAGAGAAAGAAAAATAAATAAATATAAACAAAAAAAATGAAAATAGGTTTAAAAAGGAAAAGTTATATATAATAAAGCCGCCCCCCTTGTCGCCCTGGCAAATGTCCTGTGGGGCCATTAGCTGGCCGACTGGCCACCTCAATGCTCCTTGAGGTTGGCAGTGGCGGCACTTTCTGGGATGAGGGAGTACCGATCCTCCTGTTCAGCTCACTATGCGGCACGCGAGGGAGCTGAACAGGAGGATCATTGCTCCCTTGCTGACTGCAGTGACAGCCCAGCTGCCCAGCAGCTCCACTGGACCCCAGGGAAAGCGAGAATTCACCCCAAAAGGTGGGGAGGTTAGGGGGATTGAATAAAAAAAAAATGTAAATGTGTGTGCCTTTGTTAGTGAGTGTGTGTCTGTTAGTGAATGTGTTAGTGAGTGTGTCTGTTAGAGTATTATTGTGTGTGTGTGTGTGTGTGTGCACGCATGTTTGTTAGTGAGTGTGTCTGTCAGTGAGTGTGTATGTGTATTTAGAAGACCGGGTGGGGGGGGGTGGTTGCCTGAGTTTTGTCATGCCTAGAGCAGCACAAAACCTGGTACACCACTGGGGCAAGGGGGTTGGTAGGTTATTTATTGGGGGTGTGACCTGGGGCCCTTAGTCACTTGGGTGGTGGGGGGTTAGTTAATTTTACTAACACCCCTCACCCATTGGCTACAGGTGGGGGCTGGTGGGAACAATAGGTTCCTCCCATGTCTTTTTGGGCCCCCACCTGCTGCTAATTGGTGGAGGTTGGAAGGGGCATAATAGCCCTCCCTCCCCCTTTATCACTTATGGCCCCCACCTGCTGATAATGGGTGGAGCTGGGATGGGACAATAGGTCCCCCCCTTTACCACTATCAATTATATCAATTCTAGCCCATACCAGGGCTAATGGGCTGGAGGGGACACTAGGTCCCCCATTTAGTTTCGTTGAATAGCCTATATCAGTGAGGCGACCCTTTTTGAGCCCGAGTGCCCAAACCGCAATAAATGCCAACTTCTTTTTCCTCAAAGTGCCAACATGGCAATTAAACCTGAATACTGTGGTTTAAGTTTAGAAAAAAACTAATCGTACAGTTATCCAAACTAATTAACAACTTTTGTTTTTAAAGAAGAATACAACAGAGAGTTCAATGATACAAATTTTATGATATAAATAGATAAAATTAATCTTATATTTCTTAGTATCTTCAACAAATGCAATACATACACACAGACTGCTGAATACACACACACACACCGGCTGCTAAATACACACACACACACACACCGTCCGCTAAATACACACTCCATCCGCTAAATACACACACACACACACACACACACACCGTCCGCTGAATACACATACAGACAGACTGCTAAATACATACACGGCTGAGTACACGCACGCTCACAGACGGCTGAGTACACGCACGCTCACAGACGGCTGAGTACACGCACGCTCACAGACGGCTGAGTACACGCACGCTCACAGACGGCTGAGTACACGCACGCTCACAGACGGCTGCGTACACGCACGCTCACAGACGGCTGCTGAATACACACACAGTCTGCTGAATACACACACAGTCTGCTGAATACATACACTGCTTGGCACACACTCGCAGACTGCCGAGTACGCGCGCACTCGCACGCAGCCTGCCGAGTACGCGCGCACTCGCACGCAGACTGCCGAGTACGCGCGCACTCGCACGCAGACTGCCGAGTACGCGCGCACTCGCACGCAGACTGCCGAGTACGCGCGCACTCGCACGCAGACTGCCGAGTACGACTCGCACGAGACTGCCGAGTACGCGCGCACTCGCACACAGACTGCTGAGCACGCACATACTGCATTGAGGGGTGCAGTGTTTGTGTGTAAGGGTGTGGAGTGCTATGTATGTGTCTGAGGGGTGTTGTGTGTGTGTGTGGGGGTGCTGTGTGTGTGTGTGTGTGTGTGTGTGGGGCTGTGTGTGTGTGTGTGTGTGTGTGTGGGGGTGCTGTGTGTGGGGGTGTGTGTGTGTGTGTGGTGGGTAGGGTGCTGTGTGTGTGTGGTGGGTAGGGGTGCTGTGTGTGTGTGTGTGGGTAGGGGTGCTGTGTGTGTGTGTGTGTGGTGGGTAGGGGTGCTGTGTGTGTGTGTGGTGGGTAGGGTGCTGTGTGTGTGTGTGGTGGGTAGGGGTGCTGTGTGTGTGTGTGTGGTGGTAGGGGTGGTGTGCTGTGTGTGGTGGGTAGGGGTGTGCTGTGTGTGTGTGTGTAGTGGTGGGTGGGGTGGGTGGTGTGCTGTGTGTGTGTGTGTGGTGGGTAGGGGTGGTGTGCTGTGTGTGTGTGTGGTGGGTAGGGGTGGTGTGCTGTGTGTGTGTGGTGGGTAGGGGTGGTGTGCTGTGTGTGTGCGGGTTAGGGGTGCTGTGGGGGTATGGGTCCTGTTCTGGGGGTAGGGGTGCTGTGTGGGGGGTACTGGTACTGGTGCTGTGTGGGGTAGGGGTAAAGATACATTTAAAAAAAGGTTATATTAATTCTGTATTCCCCCCTCCCTTCCTCTTACCTTTGGTGAAGGAGGGGGGACACAGCCATCCCTGGTGGTCCGGTGGTGGTAAGTATGTTTCCCTGCAGCTAGGAAGCAGCTCTCCTATTCTCCCGCACGATGCTGTGTGGAGCGTTGCCATGGTAACGCGCGGCAACGCTCCACACAGCTTGCTCGCAGGAGGATAGGAGAGCTGCTTCCTAGAGGCTTCCAGACCCGGAAGCAGAGTAGGCGCCTGCCGTTTTGGGCAGGCAGGTGCCTACTCTGCAGACAGCCAGCGGCCCCCTCTCCCGGCCACCTATGGCCGCGTGCCCACAGAGAGGGCCTGGCCTATATCCTTCCCCCTTTGTTTATTATTATAATTGTTTTTCCACATGGGGGATCTAAGCCAGAACCCCCTTTATTGGATTTCAGGGGAAGGCAACTTTTTGACGAATGAACGAATAGCTGAAATTCCCGTCTGAATTTCAGGCAATAGTGAATGCTTAAGTCTGTGAAATGTCATAGTGCAAGCTAGTGAGGGCAGATGACATGTCCCACAGACCCTTTATCTGGGAACACTCAGATGGTGGCACCTAGGAGATAGATCCGGAGAAATAAAGAGGTAAAAAAAAAGGTGAAATGCGTACCTAGAGAAATTTGGTGGTGACTAGGGAGACAATAGAATGTAATGGAGTAGGGAGGGGGGCTAAAAAAACAAAACAGATGTGGCCATGACATTGCCGCTTTAAACCACTTTGATGCAGACCCTTTTCAAACATTTCCTGTAAAGTGAGATTTAATGTTTATACTTCCTTTATTGCACTTGCACAATCTGTTTAACTTAGAATTTCTTTTCTCCTGCTCTGCTAATAGCTTTCTAGAACTTGCGCCATTTGTGTGTGGTTAAAGTTCAATTTACAGAGTAGGAGACAAAAAAAAAAAAAGTAAGTTAACATCTAATTGAAAATGAAACCATTTTTTTCATACTGGCTGTGTGAGTTACAGCAAACAGGTTTGTATTTTGAATGCTATAGTGTTCATTTAATGTGATTTCCTTTGCTGATTTTTGGGATGTGTTGATGTATTGGGTTGTTTTCTTTTAGGAGGAGACTTTCAGAGCAATTGGCACATACACCTACAACCTTCCGCAGAGACCCAGAAGACCCCTCTGCTGTGGCTTTAAAAGAACCATGGCAGGAGAAAGTAAGGTAAGTGGATGTAACGAATCGCCTGGCACCCCGACTGGGTACCTCCGTTAAAGGATGCTCCTAGCGCTTCCTGAGGACTCCAAGCACTGCAGCAGACACCACAACCACCGAACCGGAGAAGCATATGAATCCTCTCAAGCATATGAATGCTGTAGACAGTTGAATAGGAACCATACGAATAGGTTTACTCTCCTAGCAGTCAAACTGGAACAGCATACAATAAATCCTTCCCCCAATAATGAGACGACACTTCACTTTGAGGGTTAAAACAGGAACTCTCTGTACTGTCACATACAGTCTCTTTTATTCCCAATCCACAAACATAGTACAGCCCACAGGGCGTTACAAAACAACCAATCAATCCGTACAATACACCCAGACACTCCCACACAAAATCCTCCCCTCTGCATGTGATATGATTACTGAACACAATGGGTAATCTCATTATCACCGGCAGAGGAATACAGTTTTTACACAATATTTATAACTTCTAAAATATACATGTCACAAACATAAAACATAAATTTTCATAATCAATCCATTCAGGGGAACAACATATTAAAAAATGGCACGAATCAGACCAGGGGTTCAAAAGTTAAGGGAAAGTCCTTTGTGACTAAATGAAGCATGGCTTTCTGGCCCAAACCAGTTTCAGAGTCTTCTATCCTGGAGAGTAATAATTCAATTATCTCCCAGGACAGACACAAGACTCCATTAAGCACATGGTTGCAAAAAGACACAAAACACTTTAAAATACATAAAGTCACCTTTTACACATAAGACACAGACATTTCACATATCCCCAGATAGCTGGGATCTGAGCGCACAAAACTACCAAATAGCGCTCAGATCCTATTCACACAGTTCAATTGCCATGGAGCCGAAGTCTTTAACTACACGAATGGGCTCCATGGCATAGCTATCTGGGTTAACACATTCACATAAAGTCTGGTCCATAGTCCAAAGGCAAGAGGCGGGCAAGCAGCCTCCTCCAAGGACACGTGGCGAGGCCGGTTTCGCCACAGTGGATATTTGTGTTCTGGACGGAGAGTGCGTCCTAGTGTTCGATTCTTTGTGCGATGCTTATTAGATTGCAAGCTCTAGATACTAAAGCAGAGGGATCTGTAAGAAGGCAGATGAAGGGATACTGTCTGTTATATTGCGAGAGATGGGGCTAGCTCAGCAGGAAATGGATAAGGCTAGATATAAAGTGGGTTAGAAATAAGACAAACAAAATATATTTCCTTACAACAAGAGAAATATATGTAGGGTGGATTGGCACTATCAATGAAAAAGAACAAAGCAACAACCTCCAAGTGCCTAGAAAATCACCAAAAGGCACTATAGAAATACATAGAGATGAGAAAAAAGAAGATGGGGGGTGCAAAAGATAATATGGCAATATACTTATTATAGGTGAGTCTCGGGATCAGCCTAAAAAGGATAAAAATGTATACATGGCATAATACTGTAAAGCTATTTACACAATATAAACCAGAGGTAATGGGTCACTCACGATATGTAGAGCCTTAGAAAGCAGGCTCTAACTGTGAAAGCTTTGAATAATAAGTTTATTCACGCTGTCTCCACTGGTATCTTGTTACCGGATGTCACGACCAAATGGATTGGGATATGAAGCTTTACTTCAGTAAAAAATTTAAAACAACATAAAAGAAACCATGGTACAATAAAGCAATAAAATAGAACACATACAAAGCACAACGCGTTTCGACTTCCGTCTTTCTCAAAGTGCATACGAAATGACCACTCTCGGGGTCATTTAAATCAGTCCTTTCCAGAAATTCAATCTCCTGCCCGATTTCATTCACTTCCGCGTTCTGTTACCATTACGTGGTCGGTAGTTCTTACGTCGTTCATTCTCTGACCAAGATGAGTTCAATAACCAGGAAGTCCATCATATTAAAGTGCCATTTTTAATTATGTTATTATTGTTATTAACTAAAGCCCCTAGTGGCTGTCTCATTGACAGCCGCTAGAGGCGTTTGCGTGCTTCTCACTGTGAAAATCACAGTGAGAAGACGCCAGCGTCCATATTATGAATGCTTTCCTATGAGACTGGCTGAATTCGCGTGCGCGCATTCAGCCGAAGAGGAGGATCGGAGAGGAGGAGGAGAGCTCCCCGCCCGGCGCTGGAGAATAGGTAAGTTTAACCCCTTTCCTCTCCCCAGGGCCCGGCAGGAGTGGGACCCTGAGGGTATGTTTTCCTGGCACTATAATGGTCCTTTAATGCCAGTTTCCAAAATGGCATGTTAATATGATGGACTTCCTGGTTATTGAACTCATCTTGGTCGGAGAATGAACGACGTAAGAACTATTGACCACGTAATGATATCAGAATGTGGAAGTGAATGAAATCGGGCGGAAGATTGAATTTCCAGAAAGGACTGATTTAAATGACGCAGAGAGTGGTCATTTCGTATGCACTTTGAGAAAGACGGAAGTCGAAATGCGTTGTTTTGGATGTGTTTTATTTTATTGCTTTATTGTACCATGGTTTCTTTTGTTATTTTACATTTTTTACTGAAGTAAAGCTTCATATCCCAATCCATTTGGTTGTGACATCCGATAACAAGATACCAGTGGAGACAGCGTGAATAAGCTTATTATTCAAAGCTTTCACAGTTAGAGCCTGCTTTCTAAGGCTCTACATATCGTGAGTGACCCATTACCTCTGATTTATATTGTGTAAATAGCTTTACAGTATTATGCCATGTATACATTTTTATCCTTTTTAGGCTGATCCCGAGACTCACCTATAATAAGTATATTGCCATATTATCTTTTGCACCCCCCATCTGCTTTTTTCTCATCTCTATAAAGTGGGTTAGATTCAGTTGTACCTGTTAAAGGAAAAAGAGTAAGCTAATATTCTATTCTATTCCCTTTCTTTCCCAGTAATCGGAATATCCTGTCACTATAATCACATTGAATATGGCTGTGGTCGAGCTTTATTTTTCTCTCTTCTATGTTTGCAGGAGAATAAGGGAGGGCTCCCCCTATGGTCATTTTCCAAACTGGAGACTCTTGTCTGTAATCGTCAAGTGCGGGGATGATCTCCGCCAGGAACTACTAGCCTTCCAAGTCCTAAAACAGCTGCAGGTGAGTCGGCCAGCCACGAAAGCAGTTTCATTGTAATGCACTCCCTCTACTGGAATCTTCCAGTACTGCGCAATGAGGTGTAGCAATAAAAATGTGAAATGCAGGATTTCAATCACATAGCATTTGTTTGCCCAACATTTACAATTCTCTTCTCAATTTTCCACAAATTCCATTTAAGCTAAAGGTCTTTAAGGCCTTGAGTTGAAGGGTAAGCCCATCATTTAAGGTTCTCTCCTCTATTGCCATGCAGATCAACCTCATTTGTGATATCTTTATTACAAAACTAGTTTGGTCTCCATTTCTTCTATCGGAACATTATTCCCACTATAACTGCTCTAAAAGTTCTAGAAACACCATGGTCTTGATTTTAATAAGCGTTCCAAATGATTCAACACTGTTAGAAAATCTCTCCAAGAAGTCCCCACTGAACTGTATTGTATTTTTTTTTTTTGTAGATAAATCAATTGTTAAGCTTTTCTATAGAATCTTTTAGAAAGTGTATTAAATCGAGGCAGAATGTTATCCTACGTTTAATGTCAATCTGATTGCTGAAGCCGGGAATCTGCAGTGGGAGGAGGTATGGTCAGTGATTCAAGGTTAATATTCATATTGACATCATGGATCTCTCCTCTCTTTTTGCAGTCTGTCTGGGAAACTGAGCGTGTTCCACTATGGATCAGACCGTACAAGATCTTGGTCATCTCTGCAGACAGTGGAATGATTGAGCCTGTGGTAAACGCGGTGTCCATACACCAGGTAAAAAAGCAGTCACAGCTCTCTCTGCTGGATTACTTCCTACAAGAACATGGGAGCTACACCACGGAGGCCTTCCTCACTGCTCAGAGAAACTTTGTGCAGAGCTGCGCAGGATACTGCCTGGTCTGCTACCTGCTGCAAGTAAAGGACAGGTAATCTATGCTGCTCAGATTAGGTGAGAGAGCCGAATATCAATTTTAAGGTCCATGCTAAATAACTCCTGTGTCCTTTATTTCAACAGGCATAATGGGAACATTCTACTGGATGCTGAGGGTCACATCATCCATATAGATTTTGGCTTCATTCTCTCCAGCTCGCCTCGGAACCTTGGCTTTGAAACTTCCGCCTTTAAATTAACATCTGAATTTGTGGATGTAAGTAAATAAGGCGGCCCAATGTAGTAAACACAGTGACATAATATAGCAGTTGAAATAATGTTAAACTTGTTTTCCTGGCACTACAATATTAATAGGTCCCCCCCCCCCACACCCCCCCTCCCGCCGGGCTGAAGTGAGAGGAAGGGGTTAAATGACGTACCTTTCTCCAGCGCAAGGCTCCCTCGGCGCTTCGGTCGTCATCGGCTGCAAGAGCCACACGCGCATTCAGTCAGTCCATAGGAAAGCATTCTCAATGCTTTCCTATGGACGCTGGCTTCTTCTCACTGTGAAAATCACAGTGGGAAGCGCCTCTAGCGACTGTCAATGAGACAGCCGCTAGAGGCTGGATTAACCCATATGCATGTTTACAGCAGGCAGGGTTAACCCTAGATGGACCTGGCACCCAGACCACTTCATTAAGCTGAAGTGGTCTGGGTGCCTATAGTGGTCATTTAAAATGGAGGATATTATCACATAGGGTTACCCTGAGTAAAATGTACATAATCTTACTAAAGAAACGTAAACACGTACTAGAACCTTTGCTCTCCTACCACACTGGTGCTTGCCCCCTATCTGCTGCTCTTGTGAGACACGTCCTCTGCACTATCTGGGTACCTGTGACACTCACCCAGTCAAACACTGTAACCCCTGTAACCCCTGTGATATCATGCTTTTTTCCATGATATGAATTCACTGAAAGGGCAATCTAAGGACCGTAATTACAGATCATTGTTATGGTTGCAGAGTGTCTTCAGACGCTGTCTCCTTTGTTCCTCTGAGACCTGCAGTTTACATGAAATGGGGCTTTTTCAATGTGTAAACCCCAACCGCTCTGCTGCAACTGTGGTACGGCAGACGTGAACTTGCATATTAGCTGCCCATCTTGGGACATCAGTAATAAGTGATTCTTTATAAAGTCACCACAAAAGGAGATACAATGCCCCTGAATGCAGAGGGACACAGCATTTATCTTTCTCTTACTCTTGGTTGGGTCCCTACCTGCTTAATCTCTTTTTAACTTTGGATAGCAATGGTAGGATGGATTAACACAGCACACTGTCTATCATTGCCATCCGATGTAGGTTGGTTTAGCCCAACACATTCAGCCTGTTGTTTCTGTCCATAATTGGATTAATGCAGGTGTTCACTTCCTCATTGGCCAAGCAGTAGTAAAGGAACCAAATGTTAGGTGTCAAAACAGCAGTAATTTATTTTTTTTACATTAACCAAGGAGACGGCACTAGAACATTATTTAACCCCAAAACCTCAACACTGTACAGTGCTTATACTTTTAATAAGAGGCAAACACATGTTCCTAATTCATTTATTTTTTATTTTTTTTTACTATCAGTCATTTAAGTGCCAGGTTTGTTAATTCCACCGGGACTTAAAGATAGAAATGTTGGTAGGTCAGTGATAATTATTGTCAATGCAGTGAGTTACATTCTGGCTTTTGTTGAAAGAGGCAGCAGCTGGGATTGCATTATAACCATTAGTCTGGTTCATGGCCACCACAATCTCTAGATTACCAAAGAGCCCACCTGAAAACCAAAACTGAGCACAGAAGGAGCTCCATAATGTCAGAACCCAGGATCCAAACAGTCCTTCAATGTAACCCACTCAGAAATTACATAATTATTCTGTTAAATACCATGGGACAGAATTTACTAAATAAATGGCAAAATTTACGATCACTATTTTTGTTCTTTTGTCAGAATGAATCCCCATTTTATACTATGTTTTGTGATACATCCTAGTTTACAGTGAGTTTACCTGTAACGATTTATTCATTCTCTGGCTGACAGGTGATGGGAGGTCTGAATGGGGACATGTTTAATTATTACAAAATGCTGATGCTCCAGGGTCTAATTGCTGCTCGCAAGCATATGGATAGAGTGATCCAGGTTGTAGAGATCATGCAGCAAGGTACGTGACTTAGGGAAGTCTTCTGACTGCTTTAAACCTTTACAGAAGTTCTGAGAGTCTCCATATGTGCAGTCATGATGTTTTAAGATGGTCGTGCTCTGATTAAAAGATTATTCTAAGTGTGTGTGTCTAAGCTTGAAAAGGTCCCAAATTGTCAGAGGCTAAGATTCTGTGACCAATTTCGCCTGGACATTTGGCAATGGTAAACTAGAATCCTGACAGAAATGTTCAAGTAAAATCAACCACTCTGTTTTTTACGTGTTGGTATTTGTACAACAGAAAGCTGTAAAATTTAGTTCACACCCTTGGAAGAGGTTACCTTGTAATCTTTTTGATTGAAATATAGAATGTGACGGCAGAGGAGAACCATTTGGTCCATCCAGTCTGCCCAAATAAGTAAAAGAAAGGTGTTACCAGCATTTCATAGCTTCCACAAGGTTGCATTTTTGACCATATTGATATTTTGAAATAGCATCTCAATTAGTTGAACAATTAATAATGCGTTTGTTTTTTATTTGGATTATATTTATTTAACTCCATCTAATGAAAGTATCCACTTTCTTTCTCGTCTGTGATGATATGTATGTACACACAACCTCCTCGTGAAATCTAAACTAGTTTTAGCTAGACTGGTTACAGGGCAACTGATTTGCCTATCTCTTGTGCAGGTCCTCAGCTAAATCATTTTTGTGCTGGTTTTGTGTTTGCCATCACTCATATTTTTGTTTTTTTCTCCCAATTTGCAGGTTCTCAATTGCCTTGTTTCCACGGTTCCAGCACAATTCGGAACTTGAAGGAACGTTTCCACATGAACATGACGGAGGAGCAACTCCAGGTTCTGGTGGAGCAGATGGTAGATGGGAGCATGCGATCTATCACCACCAAACTTTACGATGGTTTCCAGTATTTGACCAATGGCATCATGTGACCTGAGCATGTATCTCAAGGAATGACCCTACCCCCACTTCTGGCAAGGGGGAAGAGTGGATCAGATAGATACTGTCTCTGTTTAGCTGGACACCAGTGGCTGGAGGAACAGAGATGTGAGGCGTACTCAGCCCTTGTGTAAAGAATCATGGTTTAAACACGAACATGTCTTACAGAGGGAGGACACTAAGCTGTCTTGCACCTCTCTAGGATCACTGAATATTCACAAGCTTCAGAGACCACTATACAGACAAAACCCCCAATTCAGTATTTCTATTCAAATCATCAGTGTTCAGCAGGTTTTTCCAATTTTTCATTGTCCCTTGCACACCTTTTCTTTTTTTTTTTTCCTCCCTTATATCCTTGTTCTTTATGCACAGTAATAATTTTTTGGTTGTACAAAAAGACCCCTGTCTGTACATGTGTTCTATATGTCTAGATATGGCATTTAGCAGAGGGTGGAAGGAGGACGGGTCCCACTGTCTATAGCGGTCTACTTGGCCCCACTGTCCTTTCACGCTGCTATAGGGAGAATTAATCTCATATCACTTCCTATTCTGAGAACAATCTGTTGCATTATATGTGTGTTTATGTAAAACACTTCGACATTGGCTCTGTTTTCCTAAAGAAGCAACGTTTTGAGTTGTTGTATCTTCCCCCCTCCCCTCCCCCCCGTTCTTATTGTTGATTATGGAAAACCAAATTGATTGACCAATCACTAGGGTCATATTGATGACAAAACAAAGCTTACATCACTTCTGAGAAAACTCATTCCCTCACCATTATAATTACTAGCATTTTCTTTATTTTTTATTTTTCTGTATATGAAAAACTCAAATGTTTTCGTATTTAATTGCTTTTATGAGAAACATAATAATTGATCCATCCATGTTTGTTTGTTTTTTTTGGTTTATTTTTTTATATAACCATTTTCCCATATTTTCTTGTTGAAATATTCTTTCATGTTCCCCAATCTCCAAGACCCTTGAAGAGTGATAAAGGGTTATGTTCCTGTATAGAGTCCTGGCTATTTTAGGGGGGCCAGTGGGAATCACTGACACTATTACATGTCTTGATAATCTGTTGCAGAGCAACAAAATGCCAACCAAATTTTAGTACTCCTTGATAGCAAACAACCCTCCCCTAGCCCCCAGAGGAGGTAAACTGGGGAACATTGCTTAAAGGGGGAGAAGTATTGTTTGTTTAGGGGGATGAGGGGGCTTTTTAGCAGACAGAGAAGTCTTGAATGCTTTCATGTGTACTTTGTATTAAAATAAGATAATCCAATTGTTCTAGTGTTTCTGTCTTATCCTTGAAGTGCGTTCTATACAGTAACATGACACAAAATGATGATGGCATTTTAACTAAAAGCCAAGAGAAGTGTGTTATGGGGTACTTCCCAGCCTCCTGGAGAGTATTATACGATGGCTGTCAGGACTTAAGGTTGCTGAAAAACTGTCCACTCCTGGGATTGCTTGGTAGGTGTCTGGTATTGGCTATCTTTAGATAGTTAGTGGTTGGCTTTCAGCTATTATTTGTTAGAATCCATAATATTAATATCATCATTTTAGTACATACATGTTGACAGTGTGGCTGTTCCCTGTCACCAAGCAGTGACACTGGTATGGTTGTTCCCATATAACCCTGATGGGATACAGGGCATGCTACATGCAAAACAATGTGTTTATATATCTTAAAGGGTAACAATAACAAGTTGCAAAGTAATGATAAATGGCAAATAAAATAAAATCCCTTTAAATCCTTACTAAACTGCTCCAGTGTCTCCTGTAGGGGTACCAACTGTGTCTTGTGAGGATGCTAAATCTCATCACCTTAATACCAGGGTTTTTAATGTCATCTCATTCTGTCTGCTTCACATAACGGGCAGTTTCTGATCCTATCCATAAGGCAAGTAATATAGAAAGTGTACACAAACAAGTAGCAGTATGGCGCTAAGAATATGATATTAGAAAATAAATACAAATATTTTAGAAAGCAGCACTATATAATGTGGAAAAAAAGCTCAAATCACATATACCAACATAAACCAAACAAAGTGTGCTGTGTCTTTAAGACGTTAAATACCTTATATTAAAAATGTGATTTGCATAAAATGTAAAACAATTGGTGTAATAACATACTTATTACCCAAAGTGCACTGTGCTAAAACACACTAAAATGTGATATTGTGCAAAAATATAAATAAAACCACACAAATAGTGGTAAACACTTTATTCTATTTCACTCACTGAGGAGTATCCAACTTTGCTTGTCACACGGTTCCAATATGGAATATCTCAATAATAAGAGAAAAAGGAAAAGCACCATAGGGCAATATGTGTAGTACAAAATGAATGAGTAAAATAGACAGAAAATCTCACAAGTGTAGAGCAATAAAGTCTGCTCTGAACTGTAATAGCATCTTTTGCAAGTATGGAGACTTGAAGCTGTGATGAAGGCAAACAATGCTTTATTCACAAACAGGATAAAATCAGCTTCCAGGCAGGTAAGTCCCTTTTACTCTTCCCTCTCCTCTGTTATAGGTCTTCTCCAGTCCTTGGGTCGAATGCTGGCTTCACAAGACTCAGGATCAAAGTGTATGTCATCAGTTGCGAAATTAGGAATAGGTTTATACAGGAGTACAATCTCTCTCATCCGGGTGTAATACCTACATAAGTCCAATAAGTAACAGAACTCCACAAAGTGGCGCAAGAGTTGGTCTTTGCCTCCTGTGAGAGCGTTTGTCTCCCTCGTTCGTGCTTCTGTCAGCTGCTGGGCACAAGATTGCATTGCAGTCCCCTCCTTCTATAAGCAGTTCGCTGCTAAGAGGTCGCACCACGTTCACTAAATCCTCCCACAAATTCTTGTCTACTGTGTTCACTCTGTGGTTTCTTTTAGTTTCAAGTGAATTAAAAAACAAAACTGTGTATGCATGCATACATACAACTCTGAGGCAAGTCAATGAAGGTCTGTGCATGCATGTGTGTCACTGTGTAGGTGTTGCAATGTGTAGGACTAGTGGAATGTAGGGGAAAAGGCCAAACAGTTGATGCCTTCAGCCAATGAGCTAGCCATAGTTCAGGAGAGCTAATGGAACCATCTGCTTAGGAGTTTGTCTCTCCATGGGAAATAGTGTAGACAGTGAGCAGGGGCATTGTGAATCGTTCACTCACCAATTGCCTTTCAGGATTTGCAAATCACATCCTCATGCAAAAGCTTAGGTAAAAATATTCAATAGACAAACTTGAATAATTTTTTTTTAAATCAGCTATTTTTGCCTAATTTTCAATTGGATTTAATTTGCGAAAATGTTAGTGAATACGTTTAGTGAATAACCCAGTCTGTAATTTTGACTGGTTCTTTAATGTTCTGTAACACGGTGGACATTTCTGACACTGATATGTTTGGAAATCAAACCGTTGACGTTTGGGATGTTATGTAAAATAGTCCTTCATGATGTTAGGAAACCAGGTGAATCTTATGGAACCGCATCCTTCAAGGAATCAAGTAGAATCCCGGTGAAAAAAAGTTCTGTAACTGAACCCCATTGTGTAATGATGCAGAGCAGAGCTGGACCCATTGTTCTCCCAGTGGGACTATTGAAGGGCATGACATGTTTTCATTTTTACCAGTGCTGTCTCTTGGGTAGATACCAGCAGCAGACAACATCTTCACCATTCTGCAGAGCTCCCCCCTATATGTCCCTCTCCACTTTAGCTACACAGGCTGCCTCTTGGAACCCCATTTTAGAATGGAAGGGTTATGATGTGATGACCCTGCTCCCTTCCACTCATATTGGGGCTCAGAAAGTGGCATGGTGAGTTTTATACACACTGGTGTAGATAAGTCTGTGTGTTTGTGAACATGGAGACTTACTGGGGTGATATGGTTGTTGTGAGATGGTCTTGGGAGGGTTATAGCTTGGGGGAGACATCCTGTAGAAAGATGTGGCTTGTAAGGGGGACATATTAAGAAGGGATGTTGCCTTGGGTTCAGACACTGAGGAGGGATTACGTCAGGGAGAAATAAATGTGAATTTTGCTGAGGGATATGAATTGAGGAAATAATGTTTGAGGTAAATCTGGGAAGAATTAAGTGGGTTATGTATAAAAAGTAAATCACTTGCTTTCAGATATGCACCAGTGTGTGCACACACGCCATTTACTTATGTATAAAGCTATCAGGGTAATTTAATAAAGTGGCCATGTCACTGTTTGGGAACTTTGTGTGATTTGCAAAGACCCCCAACAGTGACATTACCACTGGTGAGGAGTGGGGGAGGTGAGGAGTGGTGGCAGGAAAAGCTGAGTTTTACTTAGCTGAACCTGTCCCTCATGGATGCCGCCATCTTCTTCCGGTTTGTCCTCTTTTGCTCCTGGCACTTCAACTACCAGGAGCCAATATCACTGCTAGAAGCGCCATTTTCCATAGCAACCACAGCGCATGGGAGGAGAACAGAGGGACCCCCTTGGGGAAAGCCGAGACATTGACTGACAGCTGGGAGAAAAACTTATTTTTAAATGTTTTTTTTTCTCGTAATCAATACATCTGCTTGCAAAACTGCTAGCACAATGTATAGATACAATCTTATGCTCAATTTAATGGGCATACATTTTGGGGGTATGACAGGTGTCCTCAAAAGTTGAAATTCACTTGGAATGTTCCACTTAGTAAATAACCATGTGTGACTACCTGCATAGAATTGAGATTTTTCTGTACTGCGCCCAATTGATCTGTCTTTTCGGACACTTATTATTCCCATTTTGTCTTTTTATATCCTTTTTTCCCTCTTTATTTTACCACTGACTACACTCATCATATAAGACATTATTAATATGACTAAGGAAAAAAGAAATGATAATTTTGCCATTTTAAGGATCATTTATTCTTAAAATAAAAGGAAAGAATGCTAAAGCTGGTTACCTGTCACAGAATATCCACCACTCAGATAGTAGTGGAAATATTTATTGGAAAAAGGTGCACGTTTTCCCCTATTATTGTATACATTAGAAGCGACAAATTTGCATGGTCTGCCTAAAGGGGGGATTTCAGTAACCCACAATATGTTTGGGTCCGTCTCTAGCTATGAGTAGAGCGGACTCACCACTTTCACAGGAGATCCTGAGCCTTATGTTGGAGGGTCGGCTCCGTTGCCTGCTTACCTGTGTCTTCCATTCGGATTTAATTTGCAAAAGTTCGAATTTCACTAAATAACCCTGTTAGTGAATGCCAACCAAAAAGTGTGAAATGCTGGGAATTCAAAGTGAATTATAAAATGTAACCCAATATAGCTGAACTGAAAGCAGAGCTGACTTAGATTTATTACATAAAACTGTAATGCACTTAAAATGCCCAACAATTCATATTTCTGTAAATAGGCCTATAAAGATGACCTTTGTGCAGTTAGCTGTTTCCCCACCAGGTGGCGCTGTCATCCCTCAGCGTACAGCTCACCTGGAGGATCCGCCCAGGTACAGGGAGACTCAGGAGAGTGTGAGTGTGCAAGGGAAACTTCCGACCTCTGAGTGTGCAGGGAGCTGAAGGAATGTGAGTGAGAGTCCCCCCCAGCAAATTTAGTGTGTGGGTCACCTGAGAAGGACACAGGGAGCAGCAAAATGGTGAGACCCCCCCTAAATACTGTCTTTAACCCCATCCCCCCCCCCACTCTTCTATTTACTAAACTCTCACAATCCAAAGGTGTGACTGCCAGGTATTTGCAGTTTCTGATAACATGGTAGAACTGCTTAATTGGAGGTTAGCTTGACTATCCTGAATTAATGGAATGGTATGGTTTACTGGGAGTCATTGGATTTGGAGTAACAATATGTAGCAGGCCCCAGAATATACTATCACTAAATATTTACATGTAATTATGTATAAATGTATTTTAACAGATCTGTGTATTAGCTGACATTATTGGCTGTCTTATATGGGTACACTCAGCGCTATATGTAATACTCCGTTATTAATCTAGGGTAACATGTAGCACTGTGTATAAAATGTAGAACTGTGGCACTATGTATATGTGTTAGTATGTAACTGTACAGCTTTAGTCATTTTATTCAGTACATAGATTTTGCATTTGTTACTCATAATGTGTGTCTATAAGGCGTACAATTCCCCCTAGCCCGTGACCAGTACAAATTCATCCCAGGCAAGTAGAAAGCCACCCAGGTTTGAAGTGGCAAGCACATTTTAAGATGTGGCTAGTAGCGTAGGACATTACTTTATCAGCCCTTTATTTAATATAGCAATGTATGTACCTGTAGGTGAGAATTTGTAGTTTCATTTTGTGCTGAGACTTCGAGGAAGTGATAATCTCTGCTCACTGTACGTTATATAACTGCATATGTCACAGTAGCCATTAATTTGCCCTTAGAAGTAGGACTTTATAGCCCTGACTGCAGGTTGGGGCCAAAGTTAATTTGGTGAGAACGTTATCCCCTAAATAAATTATCCAAAAAGAGGAAATACTTTATTATGAGTGTATAGCTATAGGTTTGGGGACTTTGTCATGACTGTGATTATGGCAGCTGTCCCCCAGCAGAGGTGGTAATAGTGCATTGGATTGTGTGCCCTCAGCTGGTTAGATATGGGAAGAATTAGTGAGCTCATTATTGAGTTTACCCTCCCCCTGTTACACACCTACAACTCTGTCCCAAGTCACCCCCCATACATAGCAGGAGTTCTCAAACTGGTCAGTCCGCTATCAGTAACCAATGGGCGTTTTGGT